CGAGCCCGAACGGCTGACACCCCAGGGAGGACAGCGCCGGGATGCAAGAGCCCCAGGAGCACCCGCGGGACACACACTCAGATCCCACTGATGTCACAGATCACGTTGGCCACCTGCCGCCTTGCTGGGCGGGAAGGAGCTGCTGCCAGTGTCCACCCTTCACGCGCCTGCTCTCAACGCTGCAACTGATGACAGTGGGCCCCTTGAGGACGAAGCGTGCACGGGGGGGGGGCGAAGGGTGGCCCTTGGCTGCCAGGACTGGGATGCGAGAGTGCCTTGGGCCCCCGTGGGAGGCCCTGGGCCAGTGGTTCAGGCAGGCCCCCGCGTGCGTCCAGGGTCGCTGTGTCCGGCTGCGGTCCCTTTCATTGACTCGGGGGTCGCAGCTAACCGCCGCGCGTCAATTTGATGGTGGGTGTGTCCCCTGATCCCAGCGCTGCCACTGACGACGCGGGCTCCAACTTAGCTTCCCACATCCTGGCAATGCGCCAGAGCATGTGGATCTCTATCGATTGGATGGTGCCTCCGCCTCCGCAGAACCGACAGCACTGGGATGCAAGAGCACCAGAGCCCCAGAGGGCGGACCCGAGACCGAACGGCTGACACCCCAGGGAGGACAGCGCCGGGGTGCAAGAGCCCCAGGAGCACCCGCGGGACACACACTCAGGCCCCACTGCAGTCACAGATCACGTTGGGCCCCAGTGCCACCTGCCGCCTTGCTGGGTGGGAAGGAGCTGCTGCCACTGCCCACCCTTCACGCACCTGCTCTCAGCGCTGCAACTGATGACAGTGGGCGCCGCGAGGACGAAGCGTGCACGGGGGGGCGGCGATGGGCGGCCCTTCGCTGCCAGAACTGAAATGCAAGAGTGCCTTGGGCCCCCGTGGGAGGCCCTGGGCCCGTGGATCCGGCGGGCCCCCGCGCGCGTCCAGGGCCGCGGGGTGGCCCCCCGGGGTCGCAGCAGACCGTCGCTGATGTTTGTGCTCCAATCCTCGGGGGTCGCAGCTAATCGCCGCTGTGATCTCTATTTGACGGTCGGAATCCCCTACTATGGTCCTCCAGGGTCGCAGCAAGCCGCGGCCGATGTGAAACTGCAGTGTGACCAGACAGCGGGGGGGCGGGCATCGGGGGTCGCAGCTAATCGCCGCATGGGTCAGAAGATGGAGGAGCAGTGGAGGTGCCACTTTCCGCCTCCGCCACACGCGCTGCGACGCCTGCCTGGCCCACAAGGAAAGAGGCAGGGGGAAGCCGCCCCTCCCCTCGGTAGGCACCCCACCCGTGGGAAAGGTGGCGCACCCGTCGAGCGGGAACAGTGCTTGCTGCCATTGTCAGCCCTTCACGCACGCTCAGATCCCTCTGCTGTGAAAAACCACGTCGGTCCCCAATGCCGCAGGCCGCGTTTTGCTGGGCAGCGACGGGCCTGCTGCCAGTGACCACCCTCCTCGCATCTGATCCCCGCGCGTGCGATGCCGCGAAGTGGGGCAGCAGCGGCTGCTGTGGGGAGACGGCCCGCCACTGTTTTTTGCCCTTCCTGGGTGCCTGGGTGTTCGGGTGGCCCTTGCCGCGCGGTGATCCCTGCTCGCTCCGCCGCTCCGAACCGGGCGCCGATGCCGCAGCCGAGTCCAGTCGACGTCGAGGCCCAGCGCGTCGCTGACGACCCGTACGTCGCACTTGTGGCCGCGGAAGGATTCCAGGAAGAGGTGGCAGGTTTGCGGGTCGTGCCGAAGCGGGTCGAGCGCGCCTTTGCTGCCGGGCACGGTCTGCCGCTTGGCGAAAGCGTGCCAGGTGCCTGTGAACATTGTTCCCAGGGTGACTTGGAGCCGCCTCATCGCCTCGCCGGGTGTCACCCCAGGAAGGTCCCACTGGATGTTGTCGATTTTTGTTTTGTGCAGCTGCTGTCCCGTGTCGGGGTCCGAGGGCTCTGGCCATTGGCGCGGGTCAGGCCATAGGTGCTGCCGTGTATCCTGGCCGCGAGTCTCCGGCGTACCGGCCTCGCTGTCCTGGCCGGAGGGCTCGCGATCTGCTCGCGACAGTTCCGGCTGCACGCCTGGCGGGGCTCTGCGGGGAGAAGCGGGCCGCGCAATTGGCCGCCAAGCGGGGGTCGGATCGCATCCGGCAGCCAGGGCGGACGCTGCCCTGCGGCGTGCGGGGAGAAGCCCCTTTCGCTGGCGTTCGCGTTCGGGCCTGTGCCCGCTGTCGCTCCCGGGTGCGCCCCCTTCGGTCAACGCAAGGCTCTCGCCGGTCTCGGGGGCGCCGCTGGTTGTGCCAGGCGCGCGCACGCACGGCGACGCCGTTTCCGTTGCCAGAGCACAAGATTCTTTGTCAGTCGCGCCCTGGACGTCTGGAGGGAGCGCCCGGGGTTCGCCGCCCATTAGAATGGGTTCACTGGCAAGGGAAGGAGGGCGAATAGGCGCGAAGGGGTTTCTCCCGACGAGCCAGTGGATGGCTTCGCTGTCCTGCGTCTGGACGGTTGGTCCGTGGTCCCCCTGCTGGGTCTGCGGCGCCCCCAGAGGACTGCTGACGGTCTGATTGTTTCGAGGGGGGGGGGGGGTGGCGCGGTGTGGCAGGCGAGCCCCTGCTGTTCCGGGATCTCGCTTAGCTGACTGTCGCGGCTGCTGTCGGCACTTTCGGGGGCCAACCCCTGCCCGCCCGGTTCTAATCCAGAGACACGGATGAAGGCGCGTGCCTCTTCCGCACCTTCAGAGGCTTCCGCCGCTTCGGGCCCCCGATACTTCGCGGCCTCCGCAGCCTCCGCCGACTCCGCCGCGGCCTCCCTCGCCTTTTCTCTGCCCTGCTGCTGCTGCTGAGGGAGCAAGGGTACCTCTGAGTCTTCTCGTGGGTTCTGCTGGCTCCCAGAGGTGCCCAGGAGGCTGTCAGGGAGCAGGGGTGCCTCCCTCTGGTCGTCAGAGAGGGTTCTTTGAGGTCTCGCGGGTCTCTCGTCCCTGGGGTGGGTCTGCTGCTGTTGGGGCTGCTGTTGCTGCTGCTGCTGCAGCACCTGTTGCTGGTGGTGCGGCTGTGGTTGTGGGTGCTGCGGCGGTTGCTGTGGCTGCTGAGGGGGGTGTTGTTGCTGCTGCAGCTGCGGGGCGCTGTTGCTGCTGCTGCTGCTGCTGCTGCTGCTGCTGCTGCTGCTGCTGCTGCTGCTGCTGCTGCTGCTGCTGCTGCTACTGTAGCTGCTGCTGCTGTACACGCTTTGGGGGGTCTGCGGCTGCTGCTGCCGCGGCTGCTGCAGTTGCTGCTGCTGCTGCTGCTGCTGCTGCTGGTGCTGCTGCTGCTGCTGGTGCTGCTGCTGCTGCTGCTGCTGCTGCTGCTGTAGCTGCTGCTGCCGCTGCTGCTGCCGCTGCCGCAGGGGGCCGCCGAGGGCGCTGCCGCGGGGGGCCGCCGAGGGCGGCCGCGGCGGCCGCCGCCGCCGCCGCGCCAGCGGCCGCGGCGGCCGCGGCGGCGCCAGCCGCGGCGGGCCCGTGCGCGGCCGCGCGGGCCACGGCGGCGGCGGCACCTGGCGCGCAGCCCGCGGCCGCAGCGGCAGCGGCGGCCTCCGCCACGGCGGCGGCGGCGGCGGCGGCCGCGGCGGCGCCCGCGGCGCCTGCGGCCGCAGGGGCGGCGGCGGCGGGGCAGGTCCCCGGGCCCTCCGCCGCCGCCGCCACCGGCGAGGAGGCAGGAGCGGCGCCGGCGGGGCCAGCGGCCAGGGCGGCCGCAGAGGCCGCCTTGGCCGCGGCCGCGGAAGCGGCCGCGGCGGCGGCGCGCGCGCCCGCGGCGCGGCGGCGGCCGCGGCGGCGGCGCCGTCGCCAGCGGCCGCGGTCGCGGCGGCGCAAGCGGCAGCGCCCAGGGCCGCGCCGCAGGCGGCCGCGGCAGCGGCGGTCGGGCGTGAGGTCGCGGCGGCGCCCAGGGCCGCGCCACCGGCGGCGGCGGCGGCGGCGGCGGCTAGCCCGGGGGGCGGGCGGCGCGAGCGAGCGCTAGCCAGGCCAGCGCGAGCGGCCGCAGGGCCGGCGGCCCACTGAGCGGGCGGTCGGCTAGGGAGGGGCGCCGGTGCGGCGCGGGCGGCGGCGGCGGCGCGGCGCAGCCGGCGCCGCCGAGCAGAAAGCGGCTCCATCCGGCCGGCCCCGGAGGCAGCGGACCCAGGTCGCGCCGACCAACCTCGAGCCGACACGGCTTGAGCCAAGGCTTGAGCCAAGGTGGGCTACGGACGCTGATGGAGATACGCGACGCGTCAAGAATTCCAACATAACGACTGAACGCGGCGCTGTGTTGTTCATCGTCGTCCGCGCACATTGTTGTATGTAGCTATGGCAAATGTGCAGCCTGGGAAGTGGGTGCATTGCATGGTTGATATGTGAACCAGGTGTAATCGATTGCTAGTCGTTAGCACATGTTTGAATGCAGTTGCCGATGACGTATTACCAGGAACTGGTCTTAAGCCATTTGACTCCCATCCGAAGCAAACTGAACAATTGGCCCCAGTCCACGGGCGCCTGATCAATGCATAATTGATTGTCAAACGACTGACGCGCATTGACTTCTGTAAACATCGCTGTACATAGTGCGCGCGTGTTTGCTGTGCACAACTCACGTGATTTCCAAAGTTGTTACCGGGGTGGTCTAGGGCAGGATCCACTGTAACTTCGTAGCGTCCCGAGAATCCTGGGTATGGCGAAACGCACTTTATCCGACTTTATTGGGGAGCCTGTCTGGACAACGCAATCCTCCCGTCAAACCTGACCCTTGAAATTCCCTCTGCAGAATGGACCCCTTACCCGGAGAATGAAGAGGCCCCCCATCAAACGAATCGCCTCCAGGTGGCCTCCAGAAACTTTCAAGGACCAGCCACGCATACCAAACTATATCCTCGAAGGAGGGGGCGGGGAAGGAGGAGTTCCCAGCGGTCTCCAGATGTCTCTTGTCGTCCCCAGAAGCAAAACCAACAAAAACGCCACTGCATCCTCGAATAAGAGGGGGAGGTAGGTAGGGAAGAGACCAGGCTTCGGACGGCAAGGCCAAGCGTCACCACTCGCTAATGAAAAACCTGCTGGTAGTCCACCAGGAGGGACATCGTTAGCGCCGCCTTGGCAGAGAGGGCGAGAAGGAGAGAAGACGGAGGAGGAGGAGGAGGAGGAGGAGGAGGCAGACCAATGGAAACCAAATAGTCACAACAAATGTCGGAATAAATCCTCCCCCCAAGCTCCCTCTTCACAGGCCCCTATAACGGTTCCCTTCCACTGAGGGAACTGCCTCGTTGGAAGACAATCGTTTGAAGACCCTGAAGCATGCAAAAAAATGTTCTCCGAATCACAACGCCACTGATCAACCTGACTGTTGCGTCTTGACGATCTTGAACCATGCCAGAACACCATTCCTGCGAGTTCAACACCGCGAACCAATGTAACTGTTGCACCCTGGTAACCCTGACCCCTCCAACAGACCATTTCTGGTACGCTGACCATGGGAATCCGTGAAACGCATGCAACTGTCAAATGCGAATGCGCGCGGCGCTAGAGCGAGAACCACATTCGGAAAAGAAACCGCCCTCAATCCGTGAAACTTTTCATCTGTTGAAACGAATGTGCGCGGCGCTAAGGCGAGAACCAGTTTGAAAAGGAACCACCCTCAACCCGTGAAACCCTTTGCAACGTTTTAAAACGAATGTGCGTGGCGCTGAAGCGAGAATCACATTTTGAACACGAGCCGCCCTCAACCCGTGAAGCTTTTACACTTGTTGAAAACGGATGTGCGCGGCGCCAGGTCGAGAGCCACATTTTGGAAACGACCCGCCCTCCATCTGTGAAGCCGTTGTAACTGTTAATTAACACTTCAGAGTCATACGTGGTGGGGAAGTCTCAGGCGAAACGTTCGCCTTGCCCTAAAAACTGACCTCGGGTGCGTGCGACAGAGAGAAGTTACGTATATGGAAACGAATGGAGGACTGGAGTAGGAGCAGGAGGAGGAGAAGAGGAGGAGATGGAGGAGGAGATGGATGATGAGGAGGAGGAGGAGGAGGACGAAACGGAGGAGCAGGAAGGGGAGGACGAGGACGATGAGGAGGAGGAGGAGGAGGAGGAGGAGGAGGAGGAGGAGGAGGAGGAGGAGGAGGAGGGGAAGGAGGGGGAGGAGGGGGAGGAGGAGGAGGAGGAGGAGGAGGAGGAGGAGGAGGAGGAGGAGGAGGAGGCTCCCCACCCGATCTATTTTCCTGTCCAGGGCTGAAGCGTTTCTTGATGACGGCGCAGGCTGAGGCCGCCCGTCGGCTTCATCATCTGAGCCATTTACGCCGGCGAGTCTCCACCAATTGATGTACACGCAGGCTAGGAAAAGGAAGGGCGGTGGAGGGGACAGAGGACGGAAGCTTGAGCAAGAGCGATGGCAACGGCATCGCGTCGGCCAGACGAGCGAGCAGGAGCAATCACGTTTAGAAAACAAAACATGCTCCCCACCCGATCAATTTTCCTGTCCAGGGCTGAAGCGTTTCTTGATGACGGCGCAGGCTGAGGCCGCCCGCCGGCTTCATCATCTGAGACATTTACGCCGGCGAGTCTCCACCATTTCCCAGACTGGATGCCTGGCAGCCGGAACAGACCTGTAGAATTCAATCAAAAAACACTTGCAGACAATTGCGAGGCAACACTTAGCTGATCAGCTGCACGCATCTGGCGTGCTCGATACTGGCTGCACTTGAGAGCAGCCAACGGGCAATGGCACGAGAGACTGACTTAGAGTAGGGCTAAGCAAGCTGCGTCCATTTCATCCCGCCAGGCGCATTGCCCTGCAGGGTGATGTGTCTAAGGCCAGTCTTCGAACACAGCCCGTGGCGGCCGCAGCACCGCTTCTCTAGTGTCCAGGGAGCAGGAGAACAGTTCCAGGCACAGAACTTGGTGGATTTCCTCCATCGGGTCCCGTGCTGGCAATAGTCAATATTTGCCTGTACACATTTTGACATGGACATGAGGTGCGTCTGTACAGGTTCTTTCCACACGAGAGAAGTGAGAGGATTCTCCATGCAGACAGGCACGTGATACTTGAGGCAATGCATGATGATCTGTTGAGTGTGCTTAAGAATGATATTACCTACCTGCACTCGCTGAGATGCTTGCTCGTTCAAACCGGCTCTGCCGTAGATTGAACACTGATCACGATAAAAATAACCATGCGAGGCGTTGGACCAGGTGGAGCATGGGGGCGCCAGAAAAATCCCTCGGACCACACGACTGGAGATCCAACCTTTGATGACCCTGATCAGGGTCGGGTTGGTCATGTCGAAAGCTTCATTATCGACGAGGTCCAGAAAAACGACGCCCCATTCTCCCTGGCTCTCTAGCTCGCGAGACACACTCTTTGTCCCAGAGAAAATATAGAGAAAAACTTGTCCTGCTCGACGCCCTCGGCGCAGGGCTTCACGGAGAGCGCGCTGGCACTCGCAAAGAACGGCGGCGTGGCCCAGACGACGGACTGCCTGCCCGGCGTCGCCTGCTCGCCAAGCCGCCCCTGCGCTCAAGGGGCCGTTGCCTGAAGACTTGCGGGCAATGCCGGCTGGCACTTTCCCGCGATCACCTCCGCCAGCCTGTCGGCCACCTGCTGCCCGTGCACGAGGATGGGCATGGGGGCCGCGGCCAGCTCCGCCAGGTACCTGGCGTGCTTCGCGTACCTCTTGCTGGACCGGTCGGTGGAGTGCCGCAGGCGATGCTGGATGTCGGCCAGCCCGCGGAGGCCCTCCGCCATGTCGCAGCTCGCCGCCCCGTGCCGCACCTGGTAAGGGGTGGGCGCTGTCGTGGCCCAGGGCTCGGAAGAGCGCGCGGAACTGCCCGTTGAACTCGTGCGGCGACAGGGTCCACGCGCGCCCCTCGGGCCCGGCCTTGTCCTTGAGCTGCTGCAGGCGCCGGCCGATCACGGCCGACATCGCGGGGGCCAAGGCGACGCTCTCGTCGAGCTGCCCCACCTTGCTCCGCAGGGGCTGCTCCTCCGGGTAGAGAAGGAGAGCCCAAGCCCAAGCAGCTGGGAGAGCCTGTCCCCCCACCCTCACTGGCGGCACAAGGGGGGCCCCCGTGAGCTGCAGGAGGTCGCTGGGGAGGCGCAAGTAGGCGCCCCAGCTCAAGCACAACGCGGCGCCCACGTCGTGCCAGCCCCACCTCTCCGCCAGGCCGATCGCCGCGAAGACCAATGGCTTCGCCAGCGGGGCTCGGGTCCGCCCGCGCCCCAGGCGTCGGCACCCCTTCATGGCGGCCAGCGCGGCCTCCATCTTGCCGGGGTCGCCGAGGCCGGCCATCGGAAGGAAATACTTGACGGCGGCGTAGAGCTTGTCGGCACGATCGTGGCTGTACCCCGCGAAGAACAGCGCATCTAGGTAGAGGGGCATCATAGTGTTCACCTGCTCTGCAGTGGTTGGGGTAACTCCTCTTTTCTGGCACCACTGGCGGAACTCGCCCCACTCGCGCTGGAAGTTCCGCCTCGCGTGATGACCGACCTTCTCGAACTGCAGCACTGTGAGGCCCAGCTGGCCCGCCGCTCCCTTCTTGAAACCGTGAACCTTCTTGCGGTGGGCTGCTCGTGCCTCCAGCTTCGCCGTCGCTGACATCCGTGAGGCCACTGGCGTCGCTGCTGCTGCTGCTCGACGAAGATGAGGAGGAACTGTCACTCGAACTTCGGGCCGTCGTCGACCCTGGCGTGCCACTGATGCAGCGAAGCTCCCAATACATGGCATGGGCCTCACCGCCAGGAGCGGGGTCGTCGACGAGGTAGTCGCCGAGCCCGCTGAGGCCAGCGGCCGCGCTGTTGGCCCGCGCCCGCAGGAGGACCTGGTCAACCTCGGACCGCAGGGCCTCGGCGGGGCCCCACCGCCGGTGGCTCGGAGAGTAGTGAGCATGACGTGGATCGCCTCGAGGGTCTCTGACTTGAGCCAGAGCAATACGAGAGGGAGCGTCACCAGGCTGCCACTCCGACGGGATCCATCGCCCAATGAAAGAGGACCCCGTGAAGATAGACAAGGCAGCAAGGTGTCGAAGCTGACGATTGACACTGACTGATCAGTATCTCCCTTTTCTCATGGCGAGAACGAGGCCCAAATGGTCAATCAGCAAAAGGTGGCGCCGGTTGAAGCGCCCGACGGCCCGTAGACGATGCCGAGCCCCCATCAGCGCAGCACGCGCCTCCAGGGTCATGATGTTCTCAGCTCGTCTGAAGCGGCCGCTGAAAAAGAACCTTCCACGCACGCTTGTCCCCGATCATGTCCTGGGGGATAGCGGCAAAGTCGATCGTGCCACGACGAGCTCGGACAGCTGCAGCACTACGTCCTCCAACCTCTTCCCGAGGAACCTCCGTGCACCCGACCGTCACCGCGCTGCTCAGGTTTTCCGACGCTGCCCCTACGGCCCGACTGAACGGGAGCTCGTAATTAGAGTGGGATCGCGGCATGCCGTCTCTATGCGTGGCTTCGGTCGGCGGGGGCCCAAGGTGCAGGATGTCGTCGGGCAGGTCGGCGCCCGCGAGCTCCTCGAAAGCGCCGTCGCTCTCGGCGACGCGGAGCAGCCGCGGGCCCTCCAAGCCGAGGGCGGCTGCGCGCGCCGCGATGTCGGAGCTCACGCTGTACCTCCATCGTTCTCCCTGAGAGATCGCAAGCTCGACGGCAGTCGGATCCCTCTCCAGCTCAGCAACTCCAAAGCCACCGTAGTGTGTGAGGCCGGCCCCGGAGGCGTCCGTGGCAATGACCACGGGGTCGTCGCACCTCCGGCAGTCGGCGAAAGCGAAGGGGGGGAGAGAAGCCGCCTGTCGCAGCTCGGTCTCGACCTCACCCCACAAACGCCTCCTCGATGGGCCGGCCTTCTTCGTGAAGACGTAGGTCTGGTGCAAGATGCTGAGCATGCAACGGCGAAGCAGGGCGCACCAGGTGCAATGACCTACCAGGCGCGACAGCTCGTCGCCAGTAGCCCAACCACGATCTGCAATCCAGAGTAGGGCCAGCCTCGTCTTCCAAATTCGAGATGCAGTCAGAAGTATCTGAGCGGTCTTCCTGCAAAAAATCATTCCTGTAAAGACCTGTTCGTCGGAAGGCTCACTCACCCCCTTGCAAAGGAGACCAAC